TTCATGACTTATTCTCCTGAGTGCCTGCAAAACACAAACAAACACAAAATCAAACTCAGAGCTTTTCTTTCAGGTGCTGCTGTGACACAATCTAATAATGAAGCAGCCATGCTAACTGCTTTTGGAGCACAGCTGGAGGCTTCATGCTAATGTCATGTCAGGCTTGTTTTCAACTCAGTCCGGTAGTCCACTTTAAGAAGTGGTGGAATATGAGATTCACATCATAGATGTGTTCTGTTGACATTTGTAGCAACTCTGTGATGCTGTCATATCAAAATCTCTGAGGAATGTTTACAGTCTTCACAAAATCTTTAATCTGTGCATTTAAAAAAAAGAAAAGAATAATTGGTAAATTTAATCTTAAGGTTTTTTTGATATTTTTGTTAGTTTTTCATTGCATTGTTTAAACTTATTTAGAGGTGGCAAAAGTACAGACTTTCTTTACTTAAGTAGAAGTACTGATACAGGTGTTAAAACATACTCCAGTCAAAGTTAAAGTACTGAAGCAACGTTTTTACTCAAAAGTGAAAATGCACAGTAAAACTAAAAAGTAGCTCCTTTAAGGACAATTCTACGAGCCATTTTTGTACAAAAGTAGCTATCTGAATATATTTAAAAAATAATATGAATAGATGAGCATACAAATGTTATTCAAATCTAAATTGTAATTGTAATGGATGTACTCAGCTTGAATCTGTTATCTAGGACAGACGCAGTGAAAATAACTGTTTTCTGTTCCCTACATTGTAGAGGCTGACTTTGCTTCCACACCTAAACAGTAAAGTGAGCACAGTCAAGGGTTACAGTGGGATTCAGCAGATGGGGGAACCCTAAGATCTGTGTAGTTGATCAGCACAGGGAAAAGAATCACAACTCACAATAATTTCTAATATGAGCTTCGGAGAAGTTTCTTTATATACAGGCTGTGATCAGCAGACCTTCTGCTCTTTGTGGATTTACACAAGTGAATTCAACAAGATGTCAACAGATGTTTCACAGATGTCTTTGCTTGGCTCCATTTCCTACACTGACACTATACACTTTATACCTATTTTTATACTAGACGGTATACAATTGATATAAAGTCAGAATTCAATGAATGTATCTAAGCATAATCAGCTTAAATGCAAACTGATCTCTGCAACACTAGATTTTCAGTTTATCAAGCGTCACTGAGCAGTCCTTACCTTTAAACCTAACCTCTCCTGTCCTGTCCTCTTACATCTTTCTCCATCTCTGGGTGAAGTTTGCTCTTTTTCTTTTCTCTGCCTGTGAAATACAGCAGCTGGACCTTTAGCTAGCAACACATAGTGAGACAAACTGAACACAGACAGTTTGTGTGTTTGCTGATGTTTGTTGAGCTGATAGAAATGTTGCACTTCTGCCACTTAAAAAAAACCCTCGTTCCCCTTTTTCTTCCTCGCTAGATATTTTTTGACTTCATTAATTCCCACTTCTTAAATTGACTGATCTAAAAACAGGTTTAATTGGCTTTAGAAGAGAAATGAAGAAAAAATAACTCGATAAATCTTGCTGTGTTCCTCACAGGTGAAATGTCCCGTCCTCCTTCTGCACAGCCAGGATACTGACTGATTTGTAAGTGCCCTGCACTACTTCTGTTTGTCGTTAAATTATTTCTTCATGCCTCACACTGGTCCTGTCATATTCAGAAGTAGAGACAGAGAAATAGAGTGACAGTTTCCCTGCAGGGATTAGAGATAAGAAGAACAGAAGCTAGGTATTAGTTTCTCTGGTGTCTCATTTCTTTCATATATTTTGTCGAGCATTTGAATAAAATGTGTTTATGTTCAAGTGCCCGAGAAAAATGACAATTGTTAAATATTCAAAAAACATAAAGGGAAGAAAAAGACAAAAGGTGCAGTTAGGCTTAGGTCATAAAGACTTTACTCCATCCTGTGTGAGAATGAGCCTGAAAGAGTGTGACTGTAGCACTTGCTCATTGTGTTAGATTGAGGGACTACAGTTAAATAAACTGCAAGTAATCCAAAATAAATCTGTGTCAGCGCCACCTTTCAGCCACCCTCAGCCCTCCTGTGATCAAATAAAGAGTTTATAGTTTATAAAGTTTATAATCACACTAACAAACAGCATTCATTGTTGTTTGGTGACAATCACTTGCTGAAGCTTTAAAAATAGTTATGTAACAGTAATATCAATATGGACTTGGGAGGTTGCTTATTTTGACCAAGATTGCAACATTTTAAGAGCAGAGAATCTGACACATGTCAGCATTTAGACAACGGGAAATTCCAGCTCTACTTTTTTTCTGCATGATGGGAAAGTTTTAATGTGGACCTCCACAAAAAAGTTGTTGTGGTCAGTAAAAGCAGAGCACTGCTGCAGAAAGATGCTGTTAGGGAAATACAGCTTCATCCACAAAAACTGCTTATTAACCTTTATAATGGTTTGACTGAACTGCACTTAAACTCTGCTGCTATGTTTTAGGTGTGGTACGTCTTTCCAGATGTGCAAGATGTCAATTCCATATGCATTGATGCATCCACATAGTGTCAGAGATGCAGAGTTTTGCACTGGGAATAATAAGAAGCTGGATAGTCTCTCGTCTTCAGTGGAGAGGGCAGAGGATCCAAGTTTTTCAAAAAGAATTGCAAATGTTGTTTTGTCTTACGACAGAACACTTTTCCATTTTGCCTCAGTTCATATTAATTAAAAATAAAAACAAAATAATGGTTTGTGCCATTTGCAGATCACTGCATTCTGCTTATATTTACATTTTACATGCTTTTCAGCTACTGAAGACAAACTGAAGGCAGAGACTCACAACCAGTTAGCAGCTGATGGTAGCTTGCACCAAAGTTGAAGCAGAGCAAATGGTGATGTCAACGTGTTCTACCCTTCCAGCAATTACTGACTGAAAACTTTTATACAAATATTAAAAACAATCTTTATTATAACAAAAATTATATTTTTTTTCAATTTCTTATGAAAATGGGCAATTTGGATAAAAATGACTGTAATTCTTAATCAGTTAAAGTGATAATTTTATTCAAGCCTTGAATTAAAGCTGAAACTCTACGCTTGCCTTATTTGATTTTAAATCCATTGCGGTGGAGCACAGACGCAAAATGACAACACAAAATGTGTCATTGCCCAAAAATCTTGTGCAACTGATTATATAATCACTTTTGTTTGAGTTTTTCACATATACATAAATTGTCTCAGTTACAGGTTTTGGTACTTATGATAACTTTGAAACATTCCAGTGAACAAAAACAAAAAGATCATTTTGCCTTTTTTAATCTTTATTGTATATAAAACAATTATGACCTGTAATAGACCACTCACTTATCTCTCATTAGTTTTTATGTAAACCTCCACTAGAGTACACGCATTCATGGAGGGAAAAAAACTTAAAAAAGAAAGAAAAGAGCAATTCCTGAAACATTCAAACTAAATTAGCACAATACTGAAAGATATATGAGTAATATGTAGCTCCAACCCAAAATATGTACAAAGAGCTAAGCTTTTTTTTATTTTTAGCACATTTATATGACAAGTTAAGAGAAAGATTTTAAAAGATTCCAAAATGATCCGTATACACCCTTCTGTACTTTGTTTTTACTGTCAAATGAAGGGAATTCTTGAGAAAATTGAGTTTTTAAAAAAGATTGACCAAATTACATTCAAAATACGCCATGCGGTCTTAATAATAATACTCTTAAAATATCATACTAAAATATAATAATCTTAAAATATATTTGTAGCGTAAAGTCCTTGACATTGTAGCGCTTAGAAAATGTAAAATATGTGTTTGTACAATCAAAATTGTAAGTATAAACCCTTTTATAGATTGTCTTTATTATCAGTTTCAGATGTTTTAATCGCTGTTCTCAGATTTTGCCAAAACGCTGGAATGTGATCTTCATCGTGAGGCGACTCCAGGTACGTCCTAGATTTCATCGCTTTCCGCAGCCTGATTTTGACAAAGTTCTGTCAGAACAGCAGTTCCGACTGCTCGACTGCTGGCATCACATTTGCCTCCACCCAGGTCATCTTCATGTACCACACAACGCTGAACTTATAACACAGACCTGCAATGAGCACACACAGCAGCAGGATGCCTAAGCAGAGCAAAGAC